AGCTTGCTGTGAGCTGTGATGCCATGGAAAAAGAATGGCTCCCTCCCTCACCTCCTTCAAAGCTTTGTTAAATGAAAAGTTCTTACTGAGGCTTCTATGACCACCCTATTTAAACTTGGAAAGCACCTCCACTCAGCACTGCCTATTCCCCCAACCCTATACCAATTGTTTCTTTGCAATGATCACCCTCCAATATACTAATTTACTTCTTCATGTAGTCTACTACATATCTATCGTCTCCAGAATGTCCTCTCCACAAGGACAGAGATCTCTTATGTTTTTGACTGATGGCCACATATCCCAGTACCTATACCAGTGACTGGCGCATCCTAAGGACTGTAAAGCCCAAAGCCCAGAGGTGGGGACATCTTGCCAAGGTCGCACAAGACCGCAGTGAACAGGGCACTGGCTTGGGAGCCCATCAGCCCTGGGGATGTCCGTAAGTGTCCAGAGAGCCTCCTGTCTCTAACAGGAAATGTCATATGTCAAGGGCTGAGTAAGGCCGGCGCTCTCACTGTCTCTCTCTCTCACACACACACACATCAGTAAGGATGTGACTCCTGGCATTCTAATGTGATATATACTTTTCCACGCAAGATTTGGTTTCAACCTCCCTCTAACTCTAAAGATAAAGCTCCTTTTTGGTAGATTAAAAACTGAGGCCTAGATCGACAGCGGAGAGGCTTAGGTGCTACCACACGCTGGCTGTCCGACCCCCTCCCTACGCCTGGGGTGGTGCGGCGGTCCCGAGGCTCACGAGGGTCGTGGGTTGGGGGCGCAGTGCGGGGCTCAGGAGCCAGGACTACATTTCCCAGGAGCAGTTGCCAGCAGCTCGCGGCTCCCGGGTTTTCAAGGGCCTCGCGTTAAAGGGGGCGGATGGCGGGGAGCTCCACCGCTGCCCGCAGGAAAATGTCTTTTAGCACAGCGGGAACCCGAGAACCGCCTGTTTGGGGGCTCAGGCGACGGGGGCCAGAATCAAAAAGCGCCCCGGCCCTGCAGTGTCTGAGAGGCGAGCCAAGACCAAGCCAATCTGGAAGCAATCTTTCCTTATCTTGCCCCCCGGACTCTGTGCCCAAGCGCCGAGGAACCCTCTCCGTTCCCCTCCAATTCCCTGAACCCGGAAAGGGGTGGTGAATCGCCGCCAGGCAGAAAAGGTGCCCGCAGGCTGGAAGACCCCACGACCTGAGGCGACCCCCCCCCCCATTTTGGCTTTAGTTTCGGGAAGGAATTTACAGGTCGCTGGGATGGGCGGACATAAAGAGATATGAATGCTACAAATGAAGGCCCGGGGTCGCTGGGAGCTGAACCTCAGAATGTTCCTCCATCCATCCTTTCAAATCCTGCAGCCTCCGTGATAAAATGAGGGTGATGGGAAGTAGCGATCACGGGGCGTGAAGCGCAAAGGATCCAGAAACCAGTGGAAAGCACTTTGCAAACTGTAACGCACTGTGCAAATAGAATTCATCGTCGTGTCATTGTATTCATCCAGTCTTTATTCTAAGACATGGCATAGATGGGGGAGGGGCAGTGTGACACGTTGACACGTCTCTGGGAGCGCAGGGTTGAATAACATTTTGCACATGGGGCTTGCTATTTGGGTGCCTATTTCCCCATTCACATCTTACTGGAACCCGGAGAATAGTCTTTGAAAAGAAACAAAACAAACCCACCAAAACGTGTTTTCAAGTAAGGAAACTTTGGGGTAATCAACATCATCAAAATAAGAACCTTGACCTTTCGAACTAACCTGGCCTTCCCTTACCCGCCTGTGCCACGGAGATAAGCAGGGGGAAAAGGCATCTGACACCAACTCTCGAGCCTTCCTCCATTTGGATTAATCCATCCCTTGGTGTGAGGGGGAAATCCCTTAATTTCTCCTGGCCTCAGAGACTCCCAGGTCCAGTAGGATCCCGTCTCCCCAGCTAAACCCTGGAGCCTCTCTCCCTACCCCCTCCCCAGCAGGCCACAGTGTCTGTAAACATTCTTGGTCCCTACCGGAGGTGCCTTAATCATTTTGACCGGCAACCCCCACCCTCCCAGGGTATTGTTTTAAGTGAAGAATGACGGAGCCCCTTTGCTTAGGGAATAAAAGGGGGTTTACTGTGGGAGGAGGATCCAGAGAGTTAGCATCCCTTGATCTCAACCCAGGTCAGCTAACCAAGCGAGACCTCGATGGCAGACAAGGGGGTCCTAGAGTCTCTGGGTCCTTTCTGCTGGCCTCTGGGCTCCTGACATCCCTCAGAGCTGCAGGACTCCCTCCAGATAGTGGCGCTCCCTATCCACCTCGTGCCTCGCCTATACCTGCTGAGCTGCCAAGCGGCACGGAAAAAAATGTATACATTTTAACAAAGACTTTGCACGTTTCCAGCAAAATGGCGATGGTCCTCGCCACGGCTCTCTGAGCAGCCGCACATCACCAGGATTAGTCACAAACTAAGGCACACAACCCCCTCCTCCTTGGCCTCTTCCTCGGCGCCCCCTTTTCCCAAGTCCCCAAAGCACTAAGGGATTCTCCCCATCCCAGGGGCCCCCAGGAACGTCCCTGGTTAAGGGCCACACACACACACACACACACGACCTTCAAGGACACTTGGGAGGGGGACTCAACCCCCACAGTGGGCCTCAGGGGTGGGAGACAGCGAACTCTGCCTCTGAGACCCCAAAACTCCCCGGCTGAGGAAGACATACATATGAATTCCCAGTTAGGATATATGGGGGAAATGAGGGTCTTTGAGAAGAGGAGGCCACCCGAAAAGCCCCTCCTACTTTCTCAGGGTGGGGGGGGTAGGCAGGATTGGGGGTTTTGCCTTAGAAGGGAACCTCAAAGCAGAGGTCTGGGGGCGCCCTGGGGGAGAGACAACAGAGGAGGGGGAAGGGATGAAGTTTGAAAGTGCCCTTCCAACTCTTCCACGGAAAGTTTCCTTGGGGGCGTCATGGACAGAGAGGGATAGGGGTATGGGGGGGTCGGTGGCAGGGTGACCCCTGAGTGGTGACTGGACCCCGGGGGAGCGACCCCTCCCCCCTGTCCCGGCTGGGCCCGGCTGGGAGTAGCCCAGCTTGGGGCAGTGTGTGTTAGTTGGGGCCACTTTCCAGCCCTTCCATTGGGCTGGGGGGGCCCGCAGCGGTCCAGGAGCGGGGTAACCGGTAGCCCCAGGAGGGAGCTTTGCTATGGAGGGTCTCCCGCACCGGAGTTCCCCAGCCCCGCAGAGCCAGCCCCCCGCAAAAGGGAAATGTGCCAGCACACCAGCGGTCCTCGGCGCCGTTTGAGGCGCGTGGCGGGCCCCGGGGGCGGCTGCCGGGTCGGCGGGCCTCCCAGCAAGGGAGCCCAGAGAGCCAGGCAACGGCCCCGGGCGGCGGCGGGGAGCAAGAAGGCCCGGATCGGGGGGAAAGGTCGGATTTGCTCGGCGGAAGAAACACAGATGGCGGCGGCGCGGCGCCATTCCGGGCCGGGAGCAGGCAGCCAGCAGCCCTGTCCTCACCGCGGTCCGCCCGCCGCCGCTAAATACCCGGATGCGCCGCCCGAGCGCCAGACGCGGAGCTGGGAAAAAGGAGGCAGAGGAGGCGGAGGCAGAAGCAAAAGCAGAGGCAGAGGCATAGCCAAGCTCCGAGACCAAGCTACATACCCGCGGAGCTGGGCCACGCAGAGCCAGCCCAGAGAGCCCTCCCGCCACCCCTGCCGGGGAGAAGCAGCGACTCCTCGCCCCCGCATCCTCGGGAGCCAGACTCCGGACTGG